GCCCCATCCCACCCGAGCTGTGCAGCACCTACCTCTGCCACATATACCCTTTTTGCCTTTTCATGGAAAAAGCCCTAAAAAAAAGTTTTATTATTATTTTGATGTTTTCATTTTTCTTCTGAATAATAATCTTCAGACTTTTTTTGGACTGCCAGGGACCCAGATGTTTACTGTGTGCTGCTTTATAGAGGAACAAGATGCTGCATGTTTAAATCTAAGTATCTGCTCTCTAAAAATGGTTATGAAACAAAATTTGAAAGTCAAACTAAAACCCATCCCCCTTCCTCCCAGGAGCTCAGCTTTCATGCTCTTAGTTCTTTACAATGCAGTAATTTCACCAGCTCTGGTTTTTCAGGTATCAGTACTCTGACTGCTAAAAAGTTTGCTCTCTAGCCCCACATACAGCAGGCTAAGCACTATCAACACAGATAGTTCCCTACAAGTGATTTCTAAAGATTTTTCTTGGGGGGAAAAAAAGCAAAGAAACCTTTATAATAAGTGGCTGCTCCAGACAGAGGGGTCCTCACTGGACACTACGCCCATCAGATGGCTGCAGCCCTAAGGAGAAGTCTCCCCCTAATGATTAAGGACTTCACTGCATCTTTCCAACGACAGGAAGTACCTCCAAGGGAGCTGCAACTGGGAACCTGTTGTAGTGCCTGGCAGGAGCTGGCTGCGTTAGCCCCACCCCAGGCAGCGCTACAACCGGGCCCCGTGGATCCCAGAGCCACCCACCTCGGCCCCACCCGGGCTTTTGCTCTGCAGCCCCTCAGCCTAGAGACCTCAGGGCTTCCCCAAGCCAACAAGGGCCGCTGTGCCGCGCCCAGGCCAGTCCAGACAGCTCCGCCCGGGGCGTTGGCAGCGCCTCTCGGCGCCCCGTGAAGCCCGTGCCCGGCCCTGTCAGCGCGTCCCCCCATCCGGCCCCGCTCACCCGCGCCACCTTCTCCGCCGGTCGCTTCTTGCTCCGCTTCTTCTGCTCGTCGCCCTTGAGCAACGCCAGCCCGGCCGCCGCGCCCCCTCCGGCCACTGCCAGCGCCTCCTTGCCGGGGCCGCCG